GTGTGTGTGTGTGTGTGTGTGTGTGTGTATATATATATATATATAATAGTGTAAAGATGACATTCAATAAGCAGAAGATACATATACCAACTTGTGTGTGTGTGTATATATACATATGTATATTTACCTGTTAACATCAAAGTATGACATAACTCGCAATCTTTTTATTTCTTTTAATTTAATTAACAGAGATGCTGAAAAATTAAAATATTTCGTACTTAAAAAAAAATTAATGATGTGGTTTGATCCTGGCACTGACAAATATATAGCTGTAAAAAAGCACATTTGTTTCTGTATTTTGTGACCATGTCCTTTATTACAGCCATTCCACTCAAATACATTGAGAAGTTACCAAAAAACAGTAATTTTTAAAAGTGGTTCAACTTGCATAATCAATTCTTTTGTTTATTTATACAATTTATCCCTCAATTTTTCTTAACCAACTGCTACCCTATTCCTACAGTTCTTTTAGTGTACTTACACAAATTTATCTTTAAAATATAGAAATCTGGACACACGTAGAATCACAGAGCCAAAACTGTGATCTTCACGCAAGGTAAATATAAGATTCAGAGTTTACTTATTACTTTTTTTCCAGCAGCCTGACAACTTATCAGTATTGTTTCCTTTTGCACCTTCACCAACTCATTTAAGCTGGTATTGATATTATCAAGTAATGTTTGCACCACATCCTACTGTCAAATTTTCCTATACAATGGGTTCATTCTTGTTTTTGGTTCGGATGATTTATATAACAAAGCCATATAGGCTATCAGTGTCAAATAACTGGTTATATTTGGTATATTTTTTAAACAACTAATCAAAAAATAAAAGTATAAAAATACAATATATAAGACAATGTTTTTTATTATATGTGAAAAGATGGTTAAAAAAAATTAAAATGCCTATTGCCCATAACAAATTAAAATATGGTCAATCCAGACATTTTTATCGTGCCTCTAAGATGGTGCCTTTACTTAGTAACGTAGTGACAGTTTAAAAGTAAGTTGTGGAAAATTGTCACATTGTTCCTTTGTAAAGAAAATAATGTGTAAGGAAACTCTGGCCAATGTCGAGCCATGTGAGGACAACTTCCTCCTTTCAGTTACTCCCCCCAGTGGCACAGCGGTATGTCTGCAGACTTATACTACTAGAAACCGGGTTTTGATACCCCTGGTGGGCAGAGCACAGATAGCCCTCTGTGTAGCTCTGTGCTTAATTTCAAACAGTCCCCCAGCGGCATAGCGGTATGTCTACAGACTTACACCACTAGAAACCGGGTTTCGATACCCATGGTGGGCAGAGCACTGATAGTCCTTTATTTAGCTTTGTGCTTATAACAAACAACAACTTTTAATTACTGCACAAACAAGATATCCAATCAGCTTGTTGTGCTGTTGCTCACCCTAAATCATGTGCTAAGTGGTGAAAAGCCTTGCTTTGATGACAGACTTGAAATCCAAGCAAGGAACATACAAAATTGCCAGAGGAGGTCAATTTAGCTGTGGTGTCGGCAAGCTTATTCTCTTAGATTCCAACGTGGCCAGGAATACGAAATAGAAAAGGATAATAGTAAGAAATGAACTACTTATTTCTGAACTGGGGACAACTGATATTAAGCAATTCCAGGGCCTTCAAGAAGCTAGAAAAATTGGCACAGGTTATACAGTTAGTGTATTACTTAACTTTTACATGGTCCAGAGCAAGTAAGACTATAAACAACTCAACAGTAAGAAAAAAATATGTAGACAAAGGCCTGTAAGCATCTACTGCACTAAATCACGAAAGAGCCTACAGTTGCCAGATTTCAAGCAATCTGTAAATGTGGGAATGGAAGGATGGCTGGATAGGTGTTCATTAAAGAAAAGTTGTTGCTTTTAGCTTGGAATACACAAGTTCTTCAGGCGACTCAATGCAAGATCACAGTTTGGTTGGTAACAAGCCATGGTGGGGTGGGATAAACACCAAATTCAACACAATCATCCAGTGCCAGACCCAACCCAAAAATTAAAAATAGCAGATTATTTATTCATAAAAATCATAACCCACTGAGACATGAAGACAATCTGCCAAATGGAATAATGTGGTAGTGACTGGACTTTTGAAGCATATTGAAAAGAAAGTTCAAATGTTTTAGGTCGGATAGAGGTTCATAGAACTCTTTGTAGAAGCTCTGGGCTAGAGAAGCATGGTTAGCCCCTGATGATGCACAGGTTCCAATATCTTCAGTATAGAGTTCCTGGCTGAGGCATACACCAAAGACCTGATGTGAAGAGTAAAAGACAGTATATACCAAATAGAAGTCATAAGAACTTTACTGGGACACCACAGGAATTCACACACCTCTAACATGGAGTTCAAGATTGAAGGGAATTTCCTGGTGGTAGCAAAAATGTTTGCAAACAGTTTTAGATGACAAAAATTTGGAATCATTTGCAATGGTCTATTTGCATACGTTATTGAGGGCAGTTTGGAGCTGCCTCTTAATGAACCTAATATTTGATGACTGACAGGAAATCTGAAAGTCATCAATGTAGAGACCATTTGGAATTATTGGTCATAATGCTAAAAAATATGGCACTCATGACATACCTGCATACACTATGCTCCTATGTGAACTTTTAAGATAATCTTTATACCACATAAACCTGGAATGATCTCTCTGCTAAAGAAATTACAGATAAATAGTCATACTAAACATCCAAAAGGAGTTCTATAAGATACCAAACTTTTACATAGTATCATAAGCCTTCTCAAGATAAAAGAAAACAACAAAAATAAAAATATATGCTTCGTCTTAAGATAGACTTCATTGCAAGTCAATCAATTGTTTGTTAAAATGGAAGATATTTCAAGTAACCCAGGTACTTGATTTTTCTTGGTATTAAAGTTATTTCATATGAATAAAAAGATGAAGTAGTGGTATAAATAAAATAAGGTCAAAGTATTTCTTAACTTTATTAAGGACAGTTATTACAACACTAATTTCCAATGATAATAATGCCAGTTCTTCTGCTAGAAGGGCACGAGGAAATATGCTAGCTGATCAGCAATGCTACTCCCATCTCCTCATGGTAACTAACCTGTCCTTGGGCATTAAAAAACCTATTGAATGGTGATGGAATTGGTACACTTCAGATACATCTCCTGTATGAAGATACAGATATAATGACACAAGTCAATTAGAGCCTTGATATCATCTAGATTAGAAAGAAAATCTTGCCAGCAAGCTACAATCAACAAATTTCAGAAATATCTACTGCAAGAAGATACAATTAGAATAATATAAGTCAACCAGAGCCCTGATATTATCTTGGTTAGAAAGAAAACTTTCTCAGTACTTCCACTGAATAAAAATGAATATTTTCACTAGAGTCCTAACATAAAATGTCTCTAATGGGAAACAAGTATAGATGAGTGTACCCCAACTGAAGCATAATGCATAGCAGAAGCATAGCTCTGCTTTATAACTGGTGAGGACAGATTATGTGCCTCACAATAAGGCATGTGACAGAGCATCTTAAGATGTTGCATTTCTTGTTCATTCTTTCACTTTGGACAAGATCTGGGGTAAAAGGTACAGTTTATGTACAAATACTACTATAGCAGTCTTTACCACCAAATTATGCACTGGCTGGTGAAACATCTGAACATATTTGTGATATATGGCCACACATGAAAATCCAAATACCCCAGAAGACCGGATGTTTCTCATTCTAACTAATAGAAACCTGTCAAACAAATGTAACCCCTGATCTTTCATCGTGGAGAAAATTTCCTCCTTCAGGATGCCAAGAAGATTATTCATAGTAATCACTATCCTGAAGGAGTTCAGGGCATTATGGTGGACAACCTCAATACAGATCACCCCAAATCAAGGAGATCCAGCAAGTTCCTCTAAATAGAGCTGGGCAATTAATTCAATCAATTACATTGAATAGTATTATGCAAAATAGTCAATTAATCATTTAATGTCATGAAAATAATCAACTCTTATTACTGTTCTTGACTATTCCAACTATCCAGTAATCAAAATTGATTAATTCAACATCACAAAAATAGTCTATTAATCAAAATTAGTGTTTCTGATTATTCCACCTATTCAGTATTCAAAATAATGACATGATGATTTTTTTATTATAATTTTTGACTAATGCAAGTTTGTTCAACTTAATCAAAATTAGAGTCATCACTCATGAAAATAATAGACTATCTAAAATTAGGGTTTCCAGTAAATACTGTTATTGAATATTACCAGTTATTTAAGAAATAGAAATATTGGAATTATGTTTGTTTATTGTTAAACACAAAGCTACAAAATTGGCTTTCTGTGCTCTCCTTACTGCATTATAAAATTTTTGTAAATCTTATATGAGAATAATCAATTAGTTGAATGTAATCAATTAAAGAGCTTGTTAATTGATTAGCAAATGCCACTAGTTGCCCAGCTCTACCCTCTAACCCTTTCTGGATTAAAAGAAAAAAAAAGTGAAATTCTACCCAAAATTTTATTACATAAGAATGAGGAGAAAGTGAGGCACAAATGGTGTGGTGAATTAAGCAGGATCATCAATGGAGACCTACAAGGGGATGTTCTACACTGTTAAAAGTAAAACATGTTAAAGACAGTGCAGAAATGGCAGATTTTCTGGACACTATACCCAAATATAATTACCAGTGATAGAAACCTATTAGACAAGAAAAATAGTACCTGAAGAACTTGGACATGGACTGATGCGGGAGTGTGGTGATGGCTGCATCAGAGTATTCTCTTGAGCTGGATATGGAGAGGTACTGACAGACATTGTAGCAGGCACAGAGGCCAGATGTTGGTTAAGTGTTGACGACTGGGTTGGCTAAAATATAAAAGAAAAATAGAATGAGAAAGAATTAGTTTTATTAGAAGACATTAAGGCAAAATATCCAAAACAGATTTCATAAAAAACTTCCTGAATGAATGCCTGTGCTAGTTTATTTTCCATAAGAAGCCAAAGAGAGACGTAAACACCGAAAAATATCCAAACATTTTCGTATTCAAAGGAAGTTTTACTGAACTGTACAATGAGAGAAATTTCTTGTATGATAGGTAAAAATACTTTACATGGAATATTTTTTTTGATTAACAAAAATTAAAAGCCATATAACAGAGAGGGAGATTTTAATTACTGGAGTAGGTGCTGATCACAAAAGCACCTCTTGATAGGGAGGTAATTTTTCATCTAAGTATGTAATAAATAAAAGAAATGCTGTATACAATGTACTCTTATCTAAGATTTTGAAATATTTATAGGTTTTACCCTGTTTTCATTCAGCTGACCACTATTCTTCTGTATCATTCGCTCAAATTCTTCATTAATCTTACTGAATTTATCTTCTGATCGTGGGGTGAGGGAGTACTGGTCTGAATCTGGCTCAGGGCTTTCACATTCGATACTGCCACTTTTATGTTCCTTTTTGCTTAGAGCCTATAGAGTTGTTACATTCAAGTTCAGGATTAAATATACTTGATAACCAAACTCATACAAGAAAATGACTTAACTAACAGAAACACAAACTCATGTCATAATCTAGGGTTAGACTAAATACAAAATTATAATTCGGATCTTAAGCAATCCCTAACTGAAAAAATATTTTCATTACAATGTTTTTTTCAGGATGGAGAAAAACTGGTGTAATTGAAAATACATAGATTTAAAGCTTATTAAAGTGTATATAATGTTTATTGCAAACCATGTTTTTCTTTTTAAACAAGTGTAACTTTTCCCAACTTAGTATTGTCTAAAAAAAATCTTTAAAACATTTAAATATTAAAGGTTGGAAGAGGCAGATCTTCTTCATGAAAAAATTAACTGGGAAGATTTTCAAAATCTGATCCTAGAAAAGACCCTATAAACTAATTTGTATAGAGTTGATTTTATAAAGAGGTTAGTCTTTAGAAATTACATAGTTTAAAAGTTTTGGATAACAGTTATTAATAAAAATTTTTAAATCTGTAATAGTTGTTCAGACAGATATTCCAGAAAAATGAAAGAGCAAATGACCTTTTGTCACATGACTTCTGCTTGTAATAAAAGCACAATTTCACCTTAGATACATTCTAAGAACATTTTATTTTCACTAAATAAATTTGCTGTTGTTCCCACCCTTAAGAAAAAATATTTTCTATGAAATTAAGAAATGACTAAGTGGACTGGCTTTAAGTTTTTGTTTTCAATTTAGTTTAGAGGATGGAACAGCCGAGGTGGACCAATAGGTCCCATGTTGTCCCAAAATGTTACTTTATAGTAAGTTTTCATCATTATAACTATCACAAAGTACAAGATAAAGGATAATATTTTCCTCAATATCATTAATGAATACAAAAAAAAACTATTCTTTTGCACACATTTGTTTTGATATCAATAAAATTGAAATTGCATACAAAAAATTTGCTTTTACCTATATAATACAATTCAGTTTCTGTGTGTCACGTAACTCCTAAACCACTGTCCGCATCAATTTCTAAATCATACAAAGGAACTGTCTTAGTCCCGAGGTTTGCACTGAGGTAAAATCTTTCACCCCACCCCTTGGTAAACCCATGAATTTCCCTAAAACCACTTCTCCTAAACTTCTGGACTCACTGACTTCTAAGTGGTGCCAAACAAATCATCTCAGCCCCAAAATTTGCACAAAGTTAAAATTTTTCCCCCAACCCCTTAGGGAACACGGGTATTCAGCAAAAACACTTTTATGGAGATTCCCCAAAAGCACACCCCAAATTTGGCATTGATTTACATTAGAGCACGTAAATAAGTAGGTCTACTAATTACTGATCATAACTTGGTTAAAGAAATCAAACTTGCATTATAGCTGCAATGATTAAACTGAAAGAGTGCAAAATAGTAGTTCAAGCATTAAATTTTCATTATAGTGGCCCTGTAAATGTGGCCCATAGGCCCACAAGTTTGCTAGTAACAGCAAACTTTGTTTATAATCATTAAAATTATACTTAAGTGAATAACACTCACATCAATGATATCACTGTTGGTTCTACTTTCATGAGGTTCATTATATTCAGTATACTTGAGTAACACCTTATCCATATCAGTACTAGCATACTGAAACAGCTTGTTTGTACCATTAAAGATAATCAGTGCTATCTCACAATCACATAGCACACTCAGCTCATAAGCTTTCTTCATTAACCCAAACTTCCTTTTTGTGAAGGTCACCTGAAAAAAGAAAGTTAAAATTAGCAAGTGATAGATCAATATTAAAAAAACATTCAATAGTAAGGTCACCTGAAAAAGAAAGTTAAAATTAGCAAGTAATAGATCAATATTAAAAAAACATTCAATAGTAAGGTCACCTGAAAAAGAAAGTTAAAATTAGCAAGTTATAGATCAATATTAAAAAAACATTCAATAGTACAAGAAATTGTTCTGTATACTTAAGCCATGATACATACAAAGAGCTGTGCTATACACAGATGGATAGAATCAAAAAAGGAAATAGTTGTTTCTGTTGATGAAAATCTTACTACTAACAAACAAATGTATTACAGCAAGATAAAATCTAGAGATAAAAAGAAATGATTAAAGTTGCTGTAAGTGAAAAAGATTACACAGTCAATATTTCAACTAACAGATCTTCATCTGGTATTTGAGGTTGTTTGGCTGAAACATTGACCATAGGTTTATTTTCCCTTACAATCATTTTAACCAGTTCTTTGTATTTTTCGAAGAGCTATTTAACCTATTTCATACCTATCATATTTACTTGATGATGAAAAAAAAGAAAAGTGATATTACAAGATTTCTCAAAAATAATGTCTACACCAATTCTTAAATTCTCAGTTAACTGATAATTTCTCTTTTATAATATTTTTTTTGTATTTGTGGTAATTCATTTTTGATGCACAGCTGGTACAAAAGTATTATCTGCAAAAGAAACTTCTAAGTGTAAAATTGCAAAAATACTATTTACATAAATAAACTTTTCTTACCTTAGATGACATTTTATTGAGTAAATATCAGACATTCAATACAAAGTGTGTTTTGAACTTTACTGTCTCTATAAACCAGCCATATACAACTCCTAACAGAAGATTTCAAACTATTTTCCAATTCATCAAGTATTTACAGGAACGTAAACAGAAATATTTTTATGATTTAGATAATTATTCATTTAAGAGCTGAAAATAAACTACCTGGAATGTCTAAATACAGAGGAGTTTTAAAAAGTCATAACTTATCTGTTTTATTATTAAAAATAAATAAATATGCAAAAATTTATGTGTTTAAATAAATAAAGTATATTGTATTAACATGATAAAGTGACCCTTGATAGAAATGAAAGATCAAAGCATTCAGTGAATAATATTTAGTATGAATAAAAACTTAGGTTTAGTCCTTTCCTTTCATATTTAGCTTAACTTATGTGATTATATGATTTCATTACTGTCTACATGACTTTTTCCTTCAGTCATGTCAAAGCCAAGTTTTCTTCATTATATAAGTACAGAGAAAATGGTTATATCTGTTCCTAATTAAACTTAGAAAAGACACATACCTTTAATAAATAACTTCAAACTGATTATAAAATACGCCTCACAGATAAATCTAAAGAATCATTCTGGCTTTGTCTGAAACCCTTTTATGGTTGTTCTGTGGGAGTGTACAGACAATTTCATTTGTTATGGTTTGTGAGCTGTTTACACCTTACTTTTACACCTTTAGTGATAATATAGTTCAAAAGATATTTCAGTCTTTACCTTAGGTCCCTAGTATTCAATTTTCATATTAACTATTGAGTTAGATTTGATCTCTTTGCACTGGCCAAATAAGAAGACCACTAACACATAGAAAAAGATTAAACAACTCCTCGAGAACCATCAAAAAGAACTTGGAACATAAATCGCCCAACAACTAACAGTATACTACAGCTCCTTCCAATCATACAAATTCAAAGCAGGGTTACCTTCTCTATACCATAGTTACCTGCAGATTGTCACTGTGCCATATCTCAGCTAAGTATCTTGCAGATGTAGTACCACCATTAACAAGTAAAACAGTGGTCACAATGACCTAACAAAATACACTAATCAGCTTTGATGCCTCCAACTTATTAACTAATAAATGAACCTTTGAAACACTACAGATATTCTGGCAAGAGCTTCAAAATTATAAAACTCAAAACATGCACCCACTTACAATCTCCACAATAACAGAAATTATAACCTTCTATATCAATAAAACATACTTCCAACATGAAGATAACCATAGGCTCTCTCCTGTCAACACTCCTCAGTACCTCCACATAAAGCATTTTGAAGTTAATACCCTTTAAACTGCCACTCAAGTCCCAGTATTTGATTAAGATATGTTAATATATTTTTAATAGGACCACACAATGAAAAAAACAAAAACAAAACCACCTGAAAAGATAACATCCATCAATACAATTCACAGTAGAAATTGAAAAAGGATAAAATTACATCCTCAGATGCATGGGCATCTGCAGACATGAATAAACATTTCACATACATATGCTAAATGAATAAAGAAATAAATATAATTCTTATTTTCCAGTGGTGGTGGTGGTGGGGGGATATAAACTAACTAATATCTAATTATAATAATGAAGAATAGTAACTGATTTAATAATTAGATTTAAATGGTTGTATAGGCTACTAATCATGATAACGACTGATACCTAAGTGCTATAACTTTACTGCAAGTAGTAAAGTTTTAATATATATGTGTTTTTTATATATTTACATAAGACGACTGTAGATTGTTGCGCCCTCTTTCGTCTTCTACTGGTGGCATCATATATTAGGTTAAAATACTTCTTTTTAGCTCTAAACCAATGTACTAGCTGTAGATGAGTGGATACATTCTTGTCAGAGTTTAAGCTGCAAAAAAATGTTTTTCCAAGTTTTGTTTTTTAACAGTTATGTTATTTTGTTATCAGCGGAACAAATTTTAGTCGTGTCAGGAATTAAACAAAAAACACTTCATAGGGGACTTAGCTTTTTCTTTTCTTTACAAACAAATTATTGTTGATGAATATAGATGTTTACAGTTATGTATCAACTTTCTCTTATCATGCTATGTCATAAACTTCTATCTTATCGAAACGACGTTAATTAGCAATGAGTCCAATTGGTCAACGTCCAAGTAATCATATCAAACAATGAACTATGTGTCACTGTTTAAAAATATGTTACTACTGCAACGAAAAGATAAACACTTACAATAAATGTGACGATTTTGTTGTGAAGTCAACAATATTTAAAACTTTAGTATTTTATCGCTTAATGATTTTATAATAGATAATTTTGGCAATCTGATACATTAAACAAAGCCCTAATAGTATTCAAACTTTGAGACAATGTTTTAAAACAGCTTAGTAGAAATGAATTACATCAAAACAGTTCAAAAATATATAAAGCAAAAATACAGTTACTAACAAAATGTATTCAACCAGATAAGAAATATGGGATAACGTTAACTTAAGTTCTTCCCTGAAGAAAAAAGTTATCTACCTGTCGGTTTCGTTCATCGGTGATCCGAGATATTTGAATTTTCTTGCGGCCCATACTCGGCGACAGTTTAAAGCAGAAAGGAAAACGCCCAAACGAAAAACCTTTCCGAGTGTTGCTTTTTGTTGACTTAGACGGTGGTTGTCTCTAGCACGTTAGGAGTGTAACAAACGTCTCGAAAACGGGAGTTTAACTGTGGAGAAACAACGCATGAGAAACGTACATTTACAAGCTAAAACTACTTCTCCAATAACTACAAAACATTATTTTTTCTGTACAAAATTTTATTGACAGACAATTAGATTGATAATTCTGCGAATTCTGTACTAGAAAGCATAAACTGCAAGATAGTTTTTACGGGTTACGTTTGTTTTTCACTTACCAGAATACTGTATAACACTAGAAATACATCACTATGGTTCACCAGTCTACACGCATTTATTACAGTATCAGCACATTTAAAAAAACAGAAGGCGTTCTAAAATACACTTTGTTTTGTACATCAAAGAGTTTTGATATAAAAAGGAAAAGTTTCGATTATTCTTCAAGCCAGTATAAGTAAAAGGCGAATATAGTTTTAATTTCAGTTCAAAATAAACTATGTTTAAAAACAAATCAAACTCGAATACAATTAATAGTTAACAGCTATTTATGAATAAATAAACAGGAATAAATAAAGTGTTGGATACACAAAATACTTTTAACAGCGTGTCTTAATAACAAATTATGTCTTTATAGTATGTTACAATAGCAACTGAACGTTTAAACTGTACCTTGAATTGTTCTAATTTGACTCAAATCCTAATATCTTTAACAATTTTGTACAGACATGATGAAGCTGAACAACTCAAAAAGGCAACGCATCATAAACTCCACGAAGCGAAAGGAAGATCTACTAGATATTAATTAAATTATAAATATCAATTCATGTGAATATGACTGAAAATTTTCATTTTTTTTTCTGAAAAGGTGGTGTCCATTTACTTGTGACCATGCTGTGTGTATATATATTTTACTTTCAGGTATACTGAACAGGTTATGTTGTTGTAGATGCTAGCTAGTCCATAAATTTCGCGAAACAGACGTTTGATGAACAAGTAGGTGAATCCACCGAAACATACAACAGCTGCTTGATAATTTGGGGGGGGGGTATTTCGCTGAGTATTGAACGGTCTAGATAGTTTAAATTTTTTCGTATATATTACATATTCGAGCTTTACGGAAAAAAAAAATCTATTAATACTTAATACTATCTGCTGCCAGAGCGATCCAGGTTTGATTCCCGAAAGTATACATCATTAAAAATATTTCTTTAGATACAGCGTCGTAAAACTATTATATCTCAGTGTCAGTTTAACACAGGTTCTAACATCAAATACAGGTATATGTAAGAAAATAACATCTTTAAACGTTCTACGATTTATGCTTCAAAATTTAGATTGTTGAAACACCTACACAACAGGTCAGTTGTTAGCATATAAACGGGTCGGGCGTGACTTACAGTGGTTAGCGTGCCAGGGTCAAAAAGATAAAAGGTCAAAAGCTCAACCCGCGATATACAGCTGAGAGGGCATTATAACCGTGACAGTCAATCCCATTATTTCATTGAACGTTCAAGGTTCGAGCTAAGATAAGCTGCTGTGCGGTTCTGCACTTTCGGCTGAAGAGGCGTTATAAATGTGACAGATAATCACTTCATTTGATTAAAGATACCGGAGTAGACGGGAATGCTTCTGACTGACCGGTTGTCCTACCGTTTGTCAGTACCTTAGGATCTCTCTCTGAACTAGCCTGTGAGCGCATCAAGTACCAATCATGTTAAAATTACCAAATGCGGACATATACACATGGGAAAAAGAATGTCAAAAAGAAATATTGCAAAAATTAACCACGTCAACAATATAACACATCTTATAAATGTGGCTCATTTAATATATACTGCACATAGGATTAAAGTACTCATCTGACGGCTGAATTAATAGATATGAATCTTATTTTTTCATTAATTGCATCTTCAGTGCGTCACAGACCAAAGAAAGATGCAAGATGCCAGTTCGCTCACGTTTGGAGTTTACCTACTGCCAATTAAAATTATAAGTCTATAGTATTTCTTATCACTGATACTATAACGACTGGTAAGTGTGAAAGGATAAAATCTTTCCTCTTATCTGCTAATTAGAAATCAAAGTTTTAATTACGTGATTATAACCAAATTATTGAAAACAAAAACAAAAGAGACATAAAAATTGACTGAATACGTTAAAAACCCAGATTCCGCTGACATTTTTAGCGAAGCATTTTTGTTTTGCCCGATATTTTAGCTAGGTGGCGATATCAAGAACAATGTTTACCTTGGAAGAACTTTAAAAAAAAAACATTCCAAGCTACAGAGAAGCTTAAAACATAGAGAAGTAAGCCTTGTGACGTCAATATGGTAACCGTTTGAAATTGGATTGCATGTTTTATTTGATTTAAGAATGATATAAATGCCAGACCTATTGTGTTAATTTTCATCTCCAGTAAACTTTACAAAGAAACATATAAAGGGGTCTGGAACATAAAGACGGGTCAGTTTCTTTATTTTCATGTTAGGTATCTCCTGTACATTACGCTTTGGTTAATTCTAAAATTACAGATGGGAGTTATATTTCATCACCTATAAAATAAAGTTCTTAATTATTTATGCATCAAATTGCTTGTGCTTCTATAACTTTATTGATCGCCAGGTCCCTGCTAACATGCGTCACACATCAGAAAACAAAACAAGAAAAACAATATTGCAATTAATTCCGCTAATTACTGTTGTGGTTCGCTATGTTTTTATACAGAAAATACGTGATTTCACCCTATTTCTATGGTCAGTTCTTTACATCATGTGTTGTGACAGACAAAAACAAAATGCTATGTACTGTGAATGGCAGAGAATAGTTTGAAAACAATGGTTAAGTTGAGTATTAAAGACAATAGTACTTGATTGGTAACTATATTCGTTGTTGAAAAAAAACTACACAAAACCTTCCGGCAACACACTGTCGTGGACGTTTTCAGACAATTCCGTATTTTAATTGAAAATTAAAGTACCTCACTATACAGAACTCTGTAAAAAAAAAAAAAGTTCCTGATATGTGCTACCTGCGCCTTTTTCGTAGTTTTACGGATTTTATCCATGGCTTCTTTACACTGTAGTTCAAATTAAAGCAACCCGTTGGAACGAAATGTTTCCTTGATAAGTGTACGGATCAGCCATGCCTTTACTACTAATGGCAGTTTGTTACGTGACGATCTTTTCAAAGGGCAGAGAATCGCTAACACGGAAGTGTTTAAAGCTCGAGAGTGTGTTTGTAAGTAACCGGTTTTGTTTGTTTGTCGAAATGTTAAGAGCAACGAGAAAATTTCTCAACTAAGGTCGTGCGCACACAAGTAAATTCATAATTTCAGATTTAGTGGGTGGTAATTGATTTCACAAATGTCTATACACACACTAAGATACTTTAATTAAATATTCTAACACCTACGATATCACGAAATCAACAATACGACTGAAGTCAGTGGATTGATGACGAGTATCGTTTGGGGAAAAATGAACGACATTTGGAAGTTAAGACTAAATCTAAAGCACATCATTGAACAAGTTGAAAATTATATGTCTGAGTTTCACCAAGTACGTG